GGAGCCTGCGGTGCTGGGGGAGAGAGGAGCCTGCGGTGCTGGGGGAGAGAGGAGCATGCGGAGCTGGGGGAGAGAGGAGCCTGTGGTGCTGGGGGAGAGTGGAGCCTGAGGGCTGAGGGGCTGTGTGATCTGCGGGGGAGTAAGCAGTTACATGACTGCTATGGGTTTATCCATGTTTTAAAAAAGAGAGTAAATGGTTAAATCCTTAAAGCTGCCACAGAATGCAAGCATCAGAATAAAACACAACCACAATGTATAATTTAAGAAATCAAAGGGAAAAGAAATTTCTACCTGTAGCAGATTTTACAATTACACTCATTCTCCTCCTTACTGAGTCAAAACTCAAAATTTCCAGCAATTCAAACCTGAAAAAGAAATTAAAAATTGTTTTTAATATCTGTCTGGCTCTGCATGTCATGAAACCTGGGTAATTTCCAAGCTTTCCACAGTAGAACATCTGGGGTAGAGTCCTCTCTCCCATACACAGTCCTTAAAAGAATCACCTCCATCCACCCCTCATCTCTCCCCGGGGGGCGTCACTGCCAGGCAGCCTTTCAAGGAGGAATCTGGATACAGGGGCTTCCTCCACAGACACGATGGAAAAGTCTGGATTCATGTGATGCTGCCATTCTGCTCCTTGAGGCTGGCACCAGTGTCCTGCGGGGGACGGATGCAGACTGAGGCCAGGCTCCTGTCTCTTCCCCACCAGGACCTGCGCCAGGACGTCCACTCCCAGCCCCAGCCCGGGTCCAGGTATTCAGCAAGTCTGTTCACCACAGAAACGTATTTCTTAAGTGCTGATTCCCTTTCCTCAAGTCTGCTGAACACAGACTCACAGGTGCTATCAGAGCTGTTGATCCCTGAGAACGAACCAGTGTACTTTAAGTTGATAAAAATAATTTAAAAAGCAGAGAAAACTGATATTTAATCAGCTAGTGCAGTCTTACTCTCAGAAGACTCATGATTTCTGTCTGGCATTTGAAATACTGAAAACGTCCCTGACACTCCGCCATCCCTGACACTCCCTCTGAAAACTCCTAGGGTCTAGAGGCCCAGCCAGAAGCGCAGGAGGGTCGTGAAGCTTCTGCGACGTCAGTCCCTCCCACATTCTGTAGGAAGGCTCCCCGCGAGGTCCCCACCCGCACTGTGAGGTGTTAGTCTCAGCGGTGACCCCACCTGCCTTTTCAGTTGGAAACCTGAAGCCTGACAGCACTACGTCACCCTGCCCTCCCAGGGGCGACCCCCGAAGCTCCCGGGAGGCCCCAGCAACGAGGGGAGGAGCCCTGACTACATCCATCTAGGACCCGGCGGCCTCCAGAGGCCAGGGCTCACCACTCCCACTAACCTGGGAGTTTACTGTTCTTAAGAAGGAAATGTTAAAGTCCAGTTTTCTGAGACCACCACCACCAAATCTCGTGTTCTTGACCCCAGACTTTGCCTGTACCATCACCGCACACTCATCTTTATTTACAAAGGACAGACGGACCACCCAATCTTCTGAGTCAAAACTCGAGATACATGTTTGTCTCTGGACCAGCAATTTTATAAAGAGATTGTTCCTAAAAATCGAAAGCGTGTGGTCACTAAAGGCATGAAAAGTGAAACCATTCAACGTCCAGCTGGTCATCCCAGAGCATGCGTGCCCAGACTGTGCTCTACAGGACACTATGTTCCATGACGTGAGAGCCGTGCTCTGTGAACACAGGATTTCGTGGCCACTCCCTGGGGAAGGGTTATCCTTCCTCGTCATGGAGAGTCAGAGAGTGGCCTGGGAGAGCATCAGAACATACTGGAAGCTTTGAGAACTCTTATAGTAGAACCTGAGTTTTGATGGCTTATCCCAAAACCTATCTGATGACGCAACACCATCCAACCAGCTGGTGCTCTAACTGTCCACCACCAGCTCTCCAGACGTTCCAGTGACGTTCTGGGGCTGTTATCGAGAAGGGGGAGTGAGTTCTGGGAGGAGAACAGAGAATCTGGTTTTTCCCAAGGAAAAGTCTTCATAAAGACGCTTTTCTATCACCATCAGAACATAATTACACTGTGCTTACCGTTCAATAGCGTTGTCCCTGTTTAATATCTCCATGTAATTGTTCTTCAGCCTCAGGAACGTAAAACCCAGTCTGCAAACGAGAAGGCAAGTCCAGGGGTTAACTTGAAATTCTGATATTCCTCTTTCATAAAAAATTTCTGCTTTACATTTTGGTAAAAGTTTTTTGAAAAAGAAATACTCTGGTAAGCCAGAGGTTGTAACCTGCATTATAAAGTTAGGAAATTATAATAATACTCAATTTATTCACCATCTGAAAAAGTTCTCCCAGAGCCAAGAGAGTTCCCGACTTACCCTGCACCTCCTGTGTACTGCACGACAGGGCAAGTTCTTATGGGTAAGTGTTGACGGGTTCAGAGAGGTGGCAGCAGGTCTGTGATTGGTCCCTGTCTCTACTGACGCATTTTCACTTACTGATCAGGGGTTGTTTGCTAGAGGTTACACGTCAGTCAGAAGGACTTGAGAGGCTGTCCCTCTCCAGACTGACCCTTATTTACTGATGAGGAAACTACGGCCCAGAGCAGGCAGCCGGTCAATGAACGCCTGCAGAGCACGGTCTGTGACCACGCCCCCCAGCAAATCTGAGAGCTGCACACACGGCAGGTGCAGCGTGGGACCGTGCTGGGGGTGCGAGAGGAAAGGGTGTGGCTTCTGGACTCAAGGGGCTTACAGACTGGGAGATGCAACATCATTGTCACACAACATGGAGCCATAATGATGTGAAGGCGCCATGGGACCACCGGGACAGTGTCCCCCTGACCCAGCAGGAGCGGCAGGCTGAAGGACGGGCTCTTGGAAGGTGAGTCTAAAATGACGGGCAGAACAGCTTGTCCTCCCTTCCGATACCTGAGACTGAACGTGGCTTAACTTCTCAGCACCTGTTTTCAAGAAGAGATGAATCTAGCTTTGAGAATCTCACCCCTGCACGTGTGGATGTGTACTTTTAATAGAGGTCTATAGTGATACAACTTACACACCTGATGTCACTATTCAAATTGCATGGGAAAAACATGTTAGTTTAGTCAACAATAGAAAACACTGTTCTAATTAGATGAGAGGTGTTCAATGTGCATTTATCGATGGCAGGGAAGAGGGAAGATTAGCACCCTTAGTATTATATCAGAGTCATAAGCTGTGAGAACTGGAAAAACATTTCCCTGACTTGAAATTATGCCATGTATCTGGAACAAAGTATATTTCCAAGGGTCTGCTTAAAATGCCACGTCATGAGGCAGCAGGAACTCCCAAAGAAAAGATCTTGAAGGAGGGGGCAAGGAGCACAGAAGTAATGTGACAGGAAAGAAGAAAGAGAAGCCCTCAGGAAGAAACCCAGCACCCCGGCAGAATCCCTCCCCTTGTCATGTGACTCTGGGAAAGCTGCTTGACATCTCTGGGCGCCGTTTCTTTAGGATGGACGAAGAAGACTTGTCATAAAGGGTGTCTAGGATTGTCTGAACATTTAAAGGCCTGTGACTATTTGGAATGGCCTCTAATAACTTACCACAGAAGTTAGGAGAGAAAGCTGCCCACAAAAGACAGCGACAGAGACTCTGGCAGCTGGGAATGGCCGCTTCTCACTCCCATGGCAGGTTGTGTTCAGGAGGGACCCACTTCCACCAACTCGGAGGAGGAGGAAGCCCTGAGCACCAAGGCAGTGCCTGCTCAGCCCCGTCAGCAAGCGTCCAGGCACAGGGCTGACTCGGGACGCTCCCAGCGTGAGCCCACGGTTAGGCTGAAAGGACCTCAAAACCAGACCGGCACACCCCCGGCATCCGAGACCAGACTCGAAGCAGCCAGAGACGTACCTCTGGACACCTTCCACCAGGGCCACCTCATCAGGCGAGGACGATATGTACACACAGGATTTCCCCGAGTCCGGCGACTTCCTGGGCCCGTCCGCCTCGTCATTGTCCTTCACCTGGATGGTGTGGCACAGACAGATGGCCCGAAAAAACAGCTCTTCTCGCTCCTATAAAAATGAGTACAAACCCTCACATCCATGAAGTGTCAGCTTAAAGTGGAAGGAAAATAAACAGGAGACCATGAGCAATGAGGCAGGACAGGCAGCTTTCAGGGGCAGGAAGTACTAGTTTCGCCTTTGGGGGTCGGGAGGTGGAGTGTAAGCTCAGCTTTTCTTCATTCCTGAGCATTTCCACAGTAATTACGGTCAAGACCAACGGCCGTGAAGACCGAGAGGAAATGCACAGTAGGGAGGTGAGATGACAGGTTCAGTCATAAGAGGAGAATACACTGGGCTGAGCCTCGGACCAGCTGAGGCCGTGCTGGGGGCCTCCGGGTGCAGTGCCCTCGAGCCTGGACTCCCTTGGGATTCCCAAAGCCTCCCCAGGGGTCCTGGATGCCACTAAGGCTGAGAAGGGCTGGGCTCGCATCCACGTGCCTGGTGGAGGAAGCCACAGCAGATGGCAGGAGGAACCCCTCTCGGTGGCCACAGACCTCCTGCCCCCCGAGTCCCTGGAGAAGCATCAGTTTCTGTACTGAAATCACCTGAAGCCACACAGCGGGGCAGACAATGTGATGGGTCAGGAAAGGGCACAACCCGCTAAGGAAGGCTATCCTTGTCCCCTAGGGGCCCCCACACAGGGCTCTGCAGTCACCAAGCTTTCTGGAATGGTCTGGCCAACCACTGATGAGGGTCGGCCCCCTCTCTTTAGATCACAGCTGACATCTAGAGGCACAGTACTTGGGTGTGTGCACGGATGTGCGAGTGCAGTGTGCACATGCAGACATGTGAGGGTGTGTGCACACATGAGCATGTGTACCCATACGTGTGTATACGTGTGCTCAAGCGTGAGTGTGTACCCAGATGTGAGCACATGCACATGGGGTGTGCGGTGTCACCCAGGTCTCAGCCCACCATTTGCCCTGCTTGTCCACGCTTTAAAGCTGTTCCTAACACGGATGTGAGCAGCCAGAGCCACAGGCAGAAAACGGCGGCATCCCACTGTTCTCCTCACTCAAGTGCTGGAGGATTGTGTCCTTCCTGGACCCCAGAACAGGAGGCGACACTGGTCTATCTGGTGAATGGGACCTCGGACACTGGTCTGTCTGGTGAACGGGCAGAGCAGACAATTTGGCAGTGACGGCTGCTGGAGGGAAAACGCCTGCCGGAGAGCGGCCACCTACCCTGCCGCTGATGCCTGGGGACGAGTCGATCATGTCGATGCCGGAGGCGTCGGGGAGGACCTGCCCGTTGCAGACGGCGTGCGGCACGTAGACATGGCCCTCGATGCAGCACTCCTTGAACTCCATGTTGTTCTCCGTGAGCGTGCCCGTCTTGTCCGTGAAGACATACTCCACCTGCGGACACAAGGCGCGCTGGGCAGTGCCGGCTGGGACCCACGGGCCATCTCGGAGGAGAAGGAGCGCTCAAGACTCAGACCCCAGGGCGGTCGTGTGTGTCTGAACATCAACGCTTCCCCATGAAATGCACTTGTACAGTTTTACCCCAAACACACCCCCTCACCAGGCTGAACCCTGAGTGTGCACATGATCGCCCTTCCCAGCTCCCGACGTCCCGACAGAGCCTGCCTCAGGAGGTGGAGGGGAGCCCTTTGCTCCCACCAGGAAAAAGCTAAGTTTACTCTTCTCAGGATTCGAAGCACAAGAATGCCATGTTCTCAGGGGTGGACACGTTGGTGCAGCCAGCCTTCCACTTGTTGGAAAGACAGAGATTGCGGGGACAGTCCTGAATCTTATTTAACAAAACAGTCAAGGATATAGAGAGGATGAACTCATTCTACAAGGTCTGGGAGGTCAAAACTCACAAAGTCGTTTAAGGTTTAGGAGACAGAATTCAAACAAATAAAAGGACAAGACAAATTTCAGACAGAAAACTGTGAAAAGTGTTAAAACTGCACCTGGTTTTAAACCCTAAATTTAGATAAACTCAGGTTACGCACTCATCACGAGTGACTAAAAGAAGGTAGGGATTCTGGAACCCGTGGGCACAGGAGGAGGCTGCCAGGAGCACAGGCCTCCTGAGTCAGAGACAGAGACGGGCTGGCCCAACGGCGAGGGCGGGGCCCGGGGTGGGGTCCACCCTTCGCCCCGCTGTCTCCTGCTCAGAGCCCCTGACACACAGCTCCGGGACACCTTAGAAGGAGAGGCAGGGTTCACGAGGACAACGAAGTTCAGAAGTGGGGGATGCAGGAGAGCGACAATGAAACCAGCTGTGTGTTTCACAGCCCCCCTTTTCCACTTACGTCTCTCAGCAAAATGTTCTTTTTTGCCTTAAATCCTACTGCAGAAAATGCCTTTTCCTTGTGGGCTTGGTTCTAACAAGTAAATTTTAAGTACATAGTAGTGCCCTCTCGAAATTTTTTTTTTAAACAACCTGCCATCCAAACGCTTGCCCAAACTCCGCCAAGCCTGCCCATATCTGGAAAATCCGCGACATGGATGGAGTGAAACTTGTGACGACTCCCTGGACAGGCGGCTCTGTGGTCTGCCATGAACGACACCTGACTTTCTCACAGTGAGGATCAGCAGTGACAAGGGAGATTTCAGGTCTCCTCCTCCACAGCAAGCCTCCCCACAAACTTCCAGAGCTCCTGCGTCAGGAGGCAATGCCTAGACTCACGCCAAGTCAGATAAAGTGGCTGCACTCAACACCATTCGACATTTTTTTTGTTACAGAAAAAATTCTTTCCTCTACGAATTTCTCAGGAATACACAAAATAGACCATGTATTGTTGCAAAGGATATGAAATAATACGCAGAGGTAAAAATATTCCAGTACTGAGCAGCCAAAGTATGATGTGTGCATTGCTGACCGAGACAGTGCTGCACCACGAGGGACGCAGAATGCGCTGGAGGAATGCACTGAAGGTCAAACGCATCCACAAGCAAAACACTATCTGTTAGTAACAAATCTCCGTGACCTGGGGGGGGGGTGTGTGTGTGAAGGTGTATGTGTCTATGAGTCTAGGCATCTGTTTACACACTGCGGTTTTGGGGTGATGAGGGAGCAGGTTTCAGCTGCCAATCTAAAATGACCCTGTTTGCAAAAATACTCCACAAAATTTCTTCCTGTTTTTTTTTTTTTAAAGACAGATGAATCACTGATTACCAAACACCCTTTCCTGCAACATAGAGGCTGGGAGGGGGCTGGAACCGGGGTGGTGGGAAGGCTCTGACCAGAAGCCAGAGGCCCAAGGTGATCAGGGCTGGGCCTTTCCTTGGCTCTCTTTCCCAAGGCAGGGGCTGAGGTTTGGGGTCAGGAGGGCTCTGCCTCTCATCCAGGTGACCCTGGGTGGTGGTGACTCCCACCCACGGCGGTTCCATCAGGCACTTGCTGGGCACCCCACCTCTGTTATCTCGTTCAATCCGCCCTACACTCTGGAGAGGCAGGTACCTGTCATTATGCCCATTTCACAGATTAAGAAGCTTGAGGTGCAGAGAGCTCAGGCCCCTGCCCCGGGCTGCGAGCTGTCACGCAGAGCAGGATCACACTGTAGGTGTTCTGAACTCTGCAGTACACCACATGACTGAAACTCTGAGGTCTCACTCTGCTCGTCTTTAAGACGAGGATGACCGGCTCTCTGTGCGAGCTGAGGAAACCAGGTCCCAAGGCTGATGCAGCACCCGGAAGCGGGTGCTTGGTGAGGACCATGTGCCTTCACCCCACCCCCACCACTCAAGCCCAGAACGAGCACAGCAGAGAGGCCACATGTGCTCATACCAACCAGGTACCGTCTTAATCCTGCGTAAGCTGTAAATATAACAGCTCTACAGTTGTCACACAGAGTTAAAAGCCACTGTGCTGTTGTCCCTCAGAGGTACAGGTGACATCTCTGTGAGAAGTGAACGGAACCACCTGGATGACGTGCCTGCACGACACGAATCACTCAGGATCCAGGCATCTGAGAACACAGAATGGAGGGCTTGATCGCCCACAAACTATGAAGACGATTTGGGGGTACCGACCTGTCCCAGCTCCTCGTTTAAGTCGGAGGTGTTAACCACAGGCCCTTCTCCTGTGTCCTCGTCAAACATCTCTTCATCCCAGGTGATGAAGTAGGAGCCGAAGAACTTCTGCATCTCCACCGTGACGTACATGGACACGGGGATGATGTAGTTGAAGAGGACCATGAAGGCCAGGAAGTCCGTGAAGGCCCTGAGGAACTGAGAGAGGCCGCGTGAGTCCCACGGCGCCCAGACCCGAAGAGACTTGACCCTGTGAGTACTCCCAGCTGCCTCTGAGAATCTGACGTATTACCAAATGTGTTTCATAATAACCTACGGACGCTGAGAAAATAAGTCTGAGAAAAATGACTTCTCTGCACAGTTCTGTTCTTATCTCTGAGCCATTTAGTTCTGTGGGATGCCCGTGTGAACACAGGAGACATGCGGGGACCCTGGTGTGGATTGCCACAGTACCCCGCTCTGGACTCAGTGGACCCTGGTGTGGATCTGCACACCGCCCCGCTCTGGACTCAGTGGACCCTGGTCTGGATCTGCACACCGCCCCGCTCTGGACTCAGTGGACCCTGGTCTGGCTCTGCAC